TAACTGTGCCACTGTACTCTAGCTTGGGTGGCAGAGCAAGATCCTGTCTCAACAAAACCCCCAAAACCAAAAGAAAACATAAAAAGGAAAGCAAACAACAAAAAAGATGGTTCCCTTTTCTTATTGTGGTTCTTTGAATTTTAAAGATATTAACTCTTGGCCGGGCGCAGTGGCTCACGCCTGTAATCCCAGCACTTTGGGAGGCCGAGGCGGGCGGATCACAAGGTCAGGAGATTGAGACTATCCTGGCTAACACAGTGAAACCCTGTCTCTACTAAAAATACAAAAAATTAGCTGGGTGTGGTGGCGGGCGCCTGTAGTCCCAGCTACTCAGGAGGCTGAGGCAGGAGAATGGCGTGAACCCAGGAGGCGGAGCTTACAGTGAGCCGAGATGGTGCCACTGCACTCCAGCCTGGGTGACCGAGCGAGACTCTGTCTCAAAAAAAATAAAAAAAAAAGATATTAACTCTTTCTTATATATTGCAAATGTTTTTCCTAGGTTTTTTTTTTTTTTTTTAATTTCTTTCACCATATGGAAGTTTGGAAATATTATATGGTCAAATTAGCTAATCTTTCCCAATATTCTTTGTCACTACACTACAGTGCCAAGTGAAGTGGTGACAACTATGGCTGGAGGATGGCAATTAAAAAACAGGGAAGCTTCCTGCAAATAAGAGGTGATGACAATGGGATGAATAAAGGGAGAATCTTTCATCTGAGATAAATACAAATGCTCAACTTCTGCTGTTTGTTTGTTTTGTTTTGTTTTTAAAGTGGTAGGGGTCTCACTATATTGCCCAAGCTGGAGTGCAGTTGCTATTCACAGGTATGATCATAACATACTGCAGCCTCTAACTCCTGGGCTCAAGCAATCTTCCTGCTTCAGCCTCCCAAGTAGCTGAGACTACAGGTGCATGCCACCGTACCAGGCCTCAACTCTTATTCTTAACAACATGCCTTGGATGAGTAAAGTATGTTATACACAAAAAACTAGGGCAGGGAAATACCAGATCACTTCTGGAAAGCCCTGCCAAGACAGGGTTTTTGCTTAATCCCTGGCTGCAGTTCCTGGGTAGGAGGGTCAATATGGACGAAAGAATCTCCAAGGACTGTAAGAGTAGGGACAAGCCAGGATTCGGCAGAGGTGTCAGAAAGGTCTTACTTTCTGGATTACTGCCTAGCACACACATGAAGCCCTTGCAGGAAGGACTGCCAAAAGCTTGGTAGAAGGCTGTGCACCACTTCGCCAGCCTTCAATCAACATGCACCAACTGCAAACCAAATGACAACATCTCCAAGTATAAAAATAGGATGCTACCTTGTGTTCTCATCATATTTATACAGAATCAAAAATAACCCAGACAAAACCTCAGAGCTGCCTGTCCCACTGGCCTGCTTGCAACTGTGTTTGTACCTGGGGTCTCTCCAGGAGCACCTGGGGTCAGGGTTCCAGCTACTGTCTCCACAATGATCTCCATGTTCCCTGGACCCTCTTCAGTTGCTGTGGCCTCTACCAGCAGGCAGCCTGGCTCAGTAGGCAAAGGCGCAGGGTCCCCGGAAGGACAGGGGCTCTGGACAGGCCCCAGGATTCCACGGTTAGAGAGAGGCGGGGGGATCAGCAAAAGCTCAGGACACAGTCCATCCATCTCTCCGGTGCTATGGGCTGGCTGTGAGTCCAAAAGTGGGTCTGTCATCACCACCGACTTGTGTGTTTTGGCCTCTTAAATGCTGACAAGCCAACCAGAAGAAAAACAAAGTAAAGTTAGAGTTCCTACTTTCTTCCCAGCTGGTGTGGGTACACAGCCCAGTGCCCACCGACTTAGGCATTTTCTTGCATGGCAATATGCCACATATACCTTATGAGACTAAATAGAGGCTTTCTTTTATGATAATGTTCAGAACAAAAAGTATAAAAATGATAACGGAACATTAGGAGAGAGCCAACAAGTATTGGCCAACATATTAATGACTGCAGGTTGTCTCCCGCTAGCTAAGTGCCCTTAGCCAAGTCATTAAGCAATTTGGGTCTCAGATTTCTTATCTGCAGCAAAATTAGGTGGGGCCAAAGAATCTCAGAAGTCCCTTTTTTTTTGTTTTGAGACAGAGTCTCGCTCTGTCACCCAGGCTGGAGTGCAGTGGAGTGATCTCGGCTCACTGCAACCTCCACCTCCTGGGTTCAAGCAATTCTCCTGCCTCAGCCTCCCTACTAGCTGGACTACAGGCAGGCGACACACACGCCTGGGTAAATTTTGTATTTTTAGTAGCGATGGAGTTTCACCATGTTGGCCAAGCTGATCTCGAACTTCTGACCTCAGGTGATCGGCCCACTTTGGCCTCCCAAAGTGCTGGGATTACAGGCGTGAGCCACCTTGCCTGGCCCCTTTCTCTCTTAACCTTTGATAATCTCACTATTCCTCAGAATGGATTATAAGGAAGGCCCTTCCTTCATCATCTGGATCCTGCTGACCTCCCCAGACTCATCTCCCACTTCTCCCCTCAGCAGATCTCTGAACCAGATGATGTGCCATTCTCCAGACTCACAACATTCTCTTTTGCTTTCATACCCTCATAGCCTTTTGCGTCTCTTGGCTTGATACGCCTTTTCCCCTTTTCAATCTTTCTCTCTTGTCTGGCTAACCAATTAACTATCCTTGAAGAAGCTACACAAATGTCACTTCCACCATGAAGGCTTCCTGACATTCTTTTTTTTTGAGACAGTCTTAGTCTGTCACCCAGGCTGGAGTGCAGTGGCATGATCTCAGCTCACTGCAACCTCCGCCTCCTGGGTTCAAGCGATTCTCCTGCCTCAGTCTCCTGAGTAGCTGGGATTACAGGCATGCGCCACCATGCCTGGCTACTATTTTGTATTTTTAGTAGAGATGGGATTTCTCCATGTTGGTCAGGCTGGTCTTGAACTCCCGAACTCAGGTGATCCACCCGCCTCAGCCTCCCAAAGTGCTGGGATTACAGGCGTGAGGCACTGCGCTGGCCTGGCTTCCTGACACTCTTAATTTTCTCTCTTCTGGCATCCTGAGGGCACTCTGTACACAGCCCTTTCAGAAACGAGGTCACACTGCACTGTTTTTTACCCATCAGTCTCTCTCCCTAGATGTGTAGCTTTTTAGTAATTTGTTGACATTATCACTTCAATGACATCACTTTGTGATACTGATGTTATCACTTCAACGAACACAAATCACCCACAATCGAAGCTTCCAGTGAAGAAGCACAGACATGGAGCTGCACTGGAGTAACGCTAGGTATCTTGCACTAAACCAGTGGTTCCTCACCTATAACATAACACGTTTGTAGAAATTTCAAACTCATTAACTGACTATGGCCTCAAACTAAATATGGGAACATAACTGAGAAATGAATGACAATTAAATTGCATACCCTGTTATACATGGCTAAAATGAGTTTAAGCTGAATAATTAGTAATTAATAAGAATGATAGGAATCACTTCATGAAATTGAGTCACAGAGAAGATGCAAAAAGAAAAAAAAAAAAAAAAAGAAGAAACCAGGCGGGGCACGGTGGCTCACGCCTGTAATCCCAGCACTTTGGGAGGCCGAGGCGGGTGGATCGGGCGGGCCGATCACCTGAGGTCAGGAATTCGAGACCAGCCTGGCTAACATTGTGAATCCCCATTTCTACTAAAAGTACAAAAAAACAGTAGGGCGTGGTGGCACACGCCTGTAATCATCCCAGCTACTCCGGAGGTTGAGTGAGGAGAATCGCTGGAACCTGGGAGGTGGAGGCTGCAGTGAGCCGAGATCGCATCCAGCTTGGGCAACAAGAGCGAGAAACTCCGTCTCAAAAAACAAACAAACAAGCAAACAAAACCCAAGATCCTGCAATCTGATAGTCCCTATTTCCAGAATCCCACGACTCAAAACAACAGATCATAGGGATTCACAAGGTGGCTGGGAAGTGTGCACTCCCGTGGCCAGAGGGATTCTCTGGAAACCGCAGTCTCCACTTACTGAATATTATCGCTGCTCTGGGGAATCTTCCAGCTTGGCCATACATGGCCTCCGGGGGGAGCCAAGGAGGACGCTGAGCCGTCAAGATTAAGAACCTTCACCTGAGGAAGGGCAAGGTGAGGTAGGAGACAGGTGGGCACGAGAGAAGAAATACGCTTATCTTCCGGGCAGGAGGACTGAGGAAGAGAAAGGACAGACTAAGGCAGAGAGGAGGTCTGGAGAAATAACGGGTCCCGGCCCAGGGACCCAGGTTCCCACTTGCCTCTGGCTCTGACTCACCGCGTAGCCTTGGACAGACACAGTCGCATCGCTTCTCTGGGCCTCAGCTTTCCTGTCTGTAAAATGGAGGTGATGACAGTGTCCACATCGTCGGGCGAGAACTGGATCATAAGAGCCAGCGAACGGGAAAGGCGGCTTGTAACCTGGAAGGCTTGGGATGGAGCATCGTCATGATTTTGGTCCTGAGAGCAGCGGGTACCGGGCGGGGTCCAGAAGCGTGACGCAACTGCGGTGCCGGGGCCCAGCTCCTCTGGGTGCTCCCTTCAGTACCTCCTCCCGAGAGTTCCCAGAGCCCAGGCCCACCCTGATCCCGGGGCTCGAAAAACTTTGCCTCCAGCTTGCTTCACCCGCGTTCCCTTCCCAGTTCCGCCCCGCAGCTACTCACCTCCACACCCCGAGCCGGCTGGAGCCGCATCTCTATGGTCGGCCGCGGCTGGAGCGGCCCCCGGTGCCCCCTTTGTGCGACCGCCTCCGGCCCAGCCGCCTCTAGGATATTGGGGATGTGGAAGCCACTCTCTCTTCCTCTTGCCGGCTGCCGGGGTACTCTATGTTTTCTCTCTCTGGTTTTTCCCGCCCTCCACCCCAACTCCAGCCCTGAAGCCGGAGAAGCACCATCGAGAGCTCTGGGATAGAGTGGCGCGGGCTTCTTGGTGGGTGTGGCGGGAAGTCGATGAAAGGACCCGGGGCGGGGCCGAGCGCAGCTTCCCCAAAGTGCAGGCGCGGTGAAACCATCGAGACAGAGGGCCAGAGAGTCGTATCGGTGAGAAGGCTGAGCGACGGATTACCCCAAAGCATGTGGCTGGAGGCGCGAGCTGGGGTGTGGGCGAGGTTCCTGGGTGTCGCAGAGGGGCCGGAGGCGGGAGAGCTTTGTCTGTGGCCTTCCATGCATAGGTGTTTTGGAATTCTGGATACCAATTCTGAGGCTCAGCCGAGGTCTCTGCTGTCAGCTCATCTCCTTGCATGCCAGGGGCAGGGCAAAGTGGCCGGGGTTCGGGGTTGGAGGAGAGGTGTACTAGAAACAACTTCGCGCTTATCCCTCAGGATCTTATTGTCTACAATGTGACGATCCGTGGAGAAAGTAGCAGATGGGCAGATTTTCAGTTGGGGAGAATGAGGGAGAAAAGAACGGGCATTCCGAGCCAAGAGAACTGCATGAACAAGGAGTTGGGAGGTTGCTTACTTGTTGAACATATTTGTTGCGTATTTGCATATTTACTGAACAGGTAGTGTTGGGAGCTAATCCATGAAAGGTAGGTGGGCGCCGTATTGTAGAGGGCCTTGAGTACCAGGCTGAGTTTGTACCCAGTTCAGGGGTCTGTTGGGAGCCAGCCATTGAAGGTGCTGGAGCAGAGAGAGAGATGGAATTGGAGCTTATCCCTATGATGAAAGATCTGGACCCTTTTGTAGCTGTTCCGTGAACCCAGAGGTGAAGACCTTTTTTTTTTTTTTTTTTTTTGAGACAGAGTCTCGCTCTGCCGCCCAGGCTAGAGTGCAGTGGCGTGATCTTGGCTCACTGCAAGCTCCGCCTCCCGGGTTCACGCCATTCTCCTGCCTCAGCCTCCCGAGTAGCTGGGACTACAGGCGCCCGCCACCTCGCCCGGCTAGTTTTTTTGTATTTTTTAGTAGAGACGGGGTTTCACCGTGTCAGCCAGGATGGTCTCGATCTCCTGACCTCGTGATCCGCCCGTCTCGGCCTCCCAAAGTGCTGGGATTACAGGCTTGAGCCACCGCGCCCGGCCTAAGGTGAAGACCTTTTAAAATGCCATTTCAAGAACTATGATTTTAAAGACAGTTTAGGTGGGAGGTAATAAAGGTATAAACAGGACATTAGATATTGGGGATGTAAGGGTGAGGATATTTGAAGGACATTACTCATAACAAGGCATAGGGTTACTGACAAGTCAATGGATGCTTCTCCTTTGCTGACTGCAGCCAGTGGGCCCCTTTTTATCAAAGCTGGTCCCAGGGACGACAAAAATCTTGTCCATCCATTATCCTGATGTGAAGCCAGTTTATATAACTCTTTTTGGTTTAAGGCATCTCCAGACATGGTCCTCTGGTAGGAAACAGGTATGAGTAGACTAATGAAGGGCAAAATGGGATGAGGGGCCTGGAGTCTCCACCCTTGCATTCCAACACTACCCTTACCCCACAAAAGGAGGATATTGACCCACACAGTAGTGCTGACCTGTGGGCAGGGCTGGGGAGGTCCAGTTTCTAAAGTAATCTTGTGCTTTGTCCCTTCTCCACTGTTCCCCACCCCTAGGTTTTTGTAACACCCCAGGTCCTGTAAGGTTTGGTGTTTCCCTTTCAAGATGCCACTTTCAGACTTTATTCTGGCCCTGAAGGACAATCCCTACTTTGGGGCTGGATTTGGGCTGGTGGGTGTGGGCACAGCCCTGGCCTTGGCCCGGAAGGGTGCCCAACTGGGCCTGGTGGCATTCCGGCGCCATTACATGATCACACTGGAAGTCCCTGCTCGAGACAGGAGCTATGCCTGGTTGCTTAGCTGGCTCACCCGCCACAGTACCCGTACTCAGCACCTCAGTGTCGAGACTTCGTACCTTCAGCATGAGAGCGGCCGTATTTCTACTAAGTTTGAATTTGTCCCCAGCCCTGGAAACCACTTTATCTGGTAAAGTTGGGAGCTAGGGAGGGCTGTGCGAGTAGAAAAGAACGATGGAAGCTGGGTTTGACCCATTCACTCACTCTGTTTTGATCGTTCTTATTCAGGTATCGGGGGAAATGGATCCGGGTAGAACGAAGTCGAGAGATGCAGATGATAGACTTGCAGACGGGAACTCCTTGGGAATCTGTCACCTTCACGGCCCTGGGCACTGACCGAAAGGTTTTCTTCAACATCCTGGAGGAAGGTGTGGGATGGCACAGGCAGGCTTTCTCGGGACATTGCAGGGATGGGGACATTTGACATCAGATGAGCAGTTTGGAGAGGTGGAATAAGCAGGCTGTGGTGAGCCCATGGGAACAGGGGGCCAGAAGGAAGCTGTTTGGCTCAGCTCCACCTAACTGAAGAATCAGCCATGGTGAAGAGAATTACTGGCTTTATCTCTTCTCCTTCCCAGCTCGAGAGCTAGCCTTGCAGCAGGAGGAAGGGAAGACCGTGATGTACACAGCTGTGGGCTCTGAATGGCGTCCCTTTGGCTATCCACGCCGCCGGCGACCACTGAATTCTGTGGTTCTGCAACAGGGTCTGGCTGACCGAATTGTCAGAGATGTCCAGGAATTCATCGATAACCCCAAGTGGTACACTGACAGAGGTGAGAAGCAGCTGGGGTCTCGGCTGTGCTGTTTTTGACATTTTTAGAGGGGACAGGTTGGTCTCTGGCCAGATGAGGTGATATAAAGCTCTAGTCCAATTCCCAGAGATTAAGAGGAATGAAAAGTTGTGTATGAGAATGATTTACTTCTGTACCAAGATTATCAGGCTTCCAGGGGCCAGGGCTGGGAATGAACATAGATATCTGGGGCAAAAGACATGATCATCCTGGCTCTATCCCTAGGCATTCCCTACAGACGTGGCTACCTGCTTTATGGGCCCCCTGGTTGCGGAAAGAGCAGTTTTATGTGAGTATTCAAAATTTCTCTTAACTTGGCAAAATGAAGCCTTTTTGGAAACGCTGGGCTGATGGGGTTGGAAAGGGAAATGAATCTGGGAACTTGGGACCGGGGACCAGGATAAACATGAAATGTGTGGAACATTAGGGTGTGAGGTAGAAATCAGGCCTCTGAGACACAAGTCCCCAGACTGTGAGGAGAGTAGCTGGGCCTGAGGAAGCATTTCCAGGTTGCCTGCTACTTCCTGCCATCCCATCCTCCATAGCACAGCCCTGGCTGGGGAACTGGAGCACAGCATCTGCCTGCTGAGCCTCACAGACTCTAGCCTCTCTGATGACCGGCTCAACCACCTGCTGAGCGTGGCCCCGCAGCAGAGCCTGGTGCTCCTGGAGGATGTGGATGCTGCTTTTCTCAGTCGAGACTTGGCTGTGGAGAGTAAGTGAGGGGTTCTGGAGGAAGGGGAGTGAGTAACTGTGGAACAGGGGAAGAAAACAGAAATCCAGAGGGCTGGTGGAGGATGCCTGGGTTAGTGACAAGAGCCCATGAGACGCATGGATAAGTAGGGGAACATAGTGGGGCATGCTGATTTTATGCTGGGCTATGACTACTCATGCTTCCTTATCTTTGCCTTCCTCCAGACCCAGTCAAGTACCAAGGCCTAGGTCGCCTCACCTTCAGTGGACTGCTCAATGCCTTGGATGGTGTGGCTTCCACTGAGGCCCGCATTGTGTTCATGACCACCAACCACGTTGACAGGTAGGAAGGAGCCAAGCATCCTGAGACTGAGGCAAGAGCCCACCCACTCCCCTAGTGCCTTGGGAGGAACAGGAGGTCGAGGAGCCATCTCTGTTGGGTACTAGTGTGACCACCGCCTGTGACTCTGCTTTCCCTATCTTCTCTCAGGCTGGACCCCGCCCTGATACGCCCCGGGCGAGTGGACCTGAAGGAGTATGTGGGCTACTGCTCACACTGGCAGCTGTCCCAGATGTTCCAGAGGTTCTATCCAGGGCAGGCACCTTCCTTAGCTGAGGACTTTGCAGAACGTGTCCTTCAAGCTACAACCCAGATCAGTCCTGCCCAGGTGCAGGGCTACTTCATGCTGTATAAAAATGACCCTGTGGGGGCAATTCACAATGCTGAGTCTCTGAGGAGGTGATCAGGCTGGGCTCAGCTCAGCTCTCCTCCTTTAGTTCAATAAACATCTGCCACACTACTCTGCTCTCATCTCCCTTTATCACTGAATTGGTACTTGAGTAAGACAGGGGCTGCAATCACAGGTGTAGAGGACTACATGCTCACAAACAAGACGTTCCAATAAGTCCTGCTCTTGCAAACGAAGCAGGGTGGTGGGGGCTTGTTTATGTGTAAACATCTTGAAAATCCAGAAATTCAGGGAAAGGTCAGAAAAACAACAATGTGTCTTGTGACTTGGCAACATTCCACAAACGACTGTATAAAATAAAGCAGAGTGCGCCATTCGAGGCGGCCGCCATGTTTGTCTTGTCTTGTGTTGTCTTGTGTGTTCATTCCTTTGTTTAGGAAACACGCAGACCCCAACACACAGGTGCTTATAGGGATCAGCCAGGCAACCAGACACACAAATGATGGGGCACAGCCTAAGATAAAGAGATGAGACACAAAACGGGAAACTAAATTCCTCTACCTAAAGGCATTCTATGTATATAAATAATGGACAGGCGTGGATGTGTACACAATGGGTTGTTAATGGTGGGTCCTAAGGACTCTGTTTACATGCTGACATCCCACTAGTTTTCCCTGAAACCCACTATACTAGCTGCTGAGATGTCAGACCCTCTACCCAGCTCTTTGGAGAATAGACTTCAGAGTGAAGTTGGGGACTGCTCTGCCACACCCCAGTCTTACTAGGAATTGAGAAAAAGAGCCATTCCTCACAGGCTAGGTGCTGCTGAGCAAAGAAAGCCAAACAAGGCCAAATACCTTTATTACCCCCCTCCCATCCCCAATTCCCTGTCCCCCACAAGTCCTGCTAGGAACCATCCTCAGATTCCAGGCCCAGGGGCTCCCTCCGAGTACCAGGCCGGTATGCTCCCTGGCCCCGAGGCAGGCGGGGGTAGGAAGAACCCGGTGTCCGGCCTTTAGAGCGCTCCCAGCGAACACAGTCCCGAGTCCTGCGGGGTGGGGGGCCCTGCCAGCTGCCAGGCCCCTTCTCTTGTGGAGGACCTTCAACTCCTTGGCTATGGGGTTCTGGCTTTAGGTCCATGGGCTCCTTGAGGGGCCCCTCAGGAGGTGGCAGTTCCTGGGTGTCACGGGTACCTTTAGGGGCGTGGCACTCCCCTCCCTTCGGGTGCCTCCGTTCGGGCTGTCGCCAGGGACCTCGACTGGGCTTGGGGGGATCTAGCATAGCTCTCTGGGTTTCGCCCAACCTTTGCTGATTTGACCCAGCCCCTGGAATCTTCTCACACATGTACTGGGTTGCCACAGGCAGAGGAGTTGGCAAGGTGGACTGGACAGCTGATGAGGTGGGCAGTTCTGCTGCAAGGGTGCTGGGTGGTTGGGATCCTTTGGAGACATCTACAGCTGACTCAGGTTCCGCAGGGGTAGGAGGCTAGAAAGAAGTGACAAGATGCAGTGAGGGAGATGCAGCTCCTCGAGGCAGGGAACTACAGGCCCCTCTCCTACTATCTGGGCTGACCATGATCAGCCTATCATCTCTGTGGTTAGAACAAAGCTCACTCTGGGGCCATGGCCGATTGGGGTTTGTAGGAAGGCTGGTGGCATTACGGGACAACTGGGAAACCCTTCCCTCACCTGCTGAAGACTGATGAAGTAACGGTTTCGCTCAGCCTCAAGGTCAATGATTCCCCCCCGTTCCTGCTGCCTCTGGTAGAGCCGCTTGCGTTCTTCTTGCTGGCGCAAGCTCTCTGCACTGGGCTGGTACAGCTCCTGGAAGGAAGAATGGCAGAGAGGAAATAATGAACAGCAGAAGGCAGACTCAAATCCCTACTCCTCTGAGGCTGCCTCAGGAGATCTGCACTGGTTTTGCCCCTCAGGTCTGGGCTCCCAGAGTCTTAGGCTCCCACCAGTGGGGGATGTGGCTTTGCAGAGAGGTCCTAGGCAGTTCAAGCCCAATTTCAGAGATCCCATGTGACACAGACAAGATGCCATTCCTTACTCTTTAGAAAATGCCATTACTCCTGGCTCAGACTGGAAGAAAGACCCCTTACCATGGGCTGTTGGGGTTCAGGGGCTGCTTTCAGCGAGGCAAGATCATAAACGAGGGGCTCTCTGCACACTGGACACTGCACACCGACTTCCTTCTAAAAAAGAGGAAAAATCATATGCCTGTGTCACAGCCCAGGATGTCCCCTGGTGCTGACCCATCAGCCAACCTAATCTGCAGAGGGCTGGGACTAAAGGGCACAGGGACACTGGTTCAGCAGTGAGTTGGGACAGAGCACGGGTTGTCTAACTAGAGATCTGGGAACCCCCTGAAACTGCATACAATATGTAAGTGTATAGAAGGATGCCCTGGCCAGGCACGGTGGCTCGTGCCTGTAACCCCAGCACTTTGGGAGGCCACAGCGGGCAGATCACTTGAGGTCATGAGTTTGAGACCAGCCTGGCCAACATGGTGAAACCCCATCTCTACTGAAAATACAAAAATTAGCTGGGCATGGTGGCTCATGCCTATAATCCCAGCTACTCAGGAGGCTGAGGCAGGAGGATTGCTTGAACCCAGGAGGCAGAGGTTGCAGTGAGCCGAGTGCTTGAACCCAGGAGGCGGAGGATGCAGTGAGCCGAGATTGCACTACTGCACTCCAGCCTGGGTGGCAGAGTGACACCCCATCTCAAAAAAATAAATAAATAAATAAAAAATAAAAGGATGCCCTTTTTTCTGGACAGAGGTAAGAGTTCATTAATCTCAAGGTTATCTATGACCCTAAAAAGGTGAAGAGCCACTGGAGTGGAGGGATGGAAAGGTTGTGAAAGGCTGTGCCTAAGAGTGTCAGATGAGTGTGCAGGTCTGGTAAGGTCTACCTGTTTGGTTGCAGCATGCTGCCGTTCCTGTTCCTGCTCCTGTCCTTGTGCCTTCAGCTCTTGCTCCATGTGCTGGATGTACCGAGCAAGGCAGTGGCAGTGGAAGTAGTGGTAACAGGGTGTTTTGGTAAAGGCCTCCTTCTCCTAGAGGGAAGGCAGATGTAGGGCACTAAGTCAGAGCTCTCTCACAGCCCTCATCTTGGTCCCAAGCAGAATGCCAGGTCCCAAGAGAGAAACCCACCTGGAAACCATAGAGGCAGATGACACACTGGCCATGAGGGATGTTGTTATCTGTGAGAATTTCCTTCCCTTTCTGAGGAGAGAAGACACTGATTAAACAGGGGGTTAGGGGGAAGAATGGTGAGCAAGGCCTGTCTACTACTCCTAGGAGTGACTGGCTGGACTTGGCTCCTACCAGGCCAGTTTGTTACCTTGTGTTTATGCATTTCTGTCTTGGTGATGCTCCCTCTGCTGGGAATCAATCCTTCTCCACGTCTCTGCCCCTCCCCCAAAATTTGATCTTCCTGGTTTCAAAATTCAACCTAATTGTTTTTCCTTTCATTAAGTCACTTTTAATATATCTTGGAGATGAAAATAATACACCTTGAGAGAAAAAAATGTTCAATTAAAACTCATCTTCTGGGAGGCCTTTCTTGATTAGTCCCCTTCAATATCATTCCCCCATGGGGCAATGAGTTTGTTCTAAGTCAGCTTTCAGAAAGCATGTCAAAGCATGGACAACCCGAATGGACAGAAAATTCACAAGGCATTGAGTTGGGCTGTGAACTATGCATTTGAATTGTTATTTGAACAGCTAATAGTGTACTCTGGAATTCCACAAAGTCCAAGGCTGCATTGTGGAGGCCTGACCTAGGACTGCTACAGTGGCCTATCAAACCCACTCTCTTTGACTCTCGGCCACCCACCTTCATTCTATTCTGAACATTTTTCTTAAAAATTTAAACTAGGAGCTGGGCGCGGTGGCTCACGCCTGTAATCCCAGCACTTTGGGAGGCCGAGACGGGCGGATCACAAGGTCAGGAGATTGAGACCATCCTGGCTAACACGGTGAAACCCCGTCTCTACTAAAAGTACAAAAAAAAAAACTAGCCGGGCGAGGTGGCGGGCGCCTGTAGTCCCAGCTACTCGGGAGGCTGAGGTTGGAGAATGGCGTAAACCCAGGAGGCGGAGCTTGTAGTGAGCCGAGTTCGCGCCACTGCACCCCAGCCTGGGTGACAGAGCAAAGACTCCGTCTCAAAAAAAAAAAAAAAATTTAAACTAGGAGAGGCTGGGCATGGTGGCTCATGCCTATAATCTCAGCACTTTGGGTGGCCAAGGCAGGTGGATTATCTGAAGTCAGGAGTTCAAGACTAGCCTGGCCAACAAGGAGAAACCCCATCTCTACTAAAAATACAAAATTAGCTGGGTGTGGTGGTACATGCCTGTAATCCTAGCTATTTGGGAGGCTGAGGCAGGAGAATCACTTGAACCTGGGAGGCAGAGGTTGCAGTGAGCTGAGATCACACCACTGCACTCCAGCCTGGATGACAGACTAAGACTGTCTCAAAAAATAAATAAATAAATAAAATAAAAATAAAAAATAAATAAACTAGAGGAAAATAAGACTGTACTTTATATTTTTAATCTCAAACAGCAGAAGTTTTCCGTGTATATTGGAGCTCCAGGTGTTGCTTCATGTGGGTTGTTTCACTAAGCAGTGTCTTTCGGGAAGTTTCTCAAATAGAAGAGTCTCATTTCTCTGGATTAATTTAGGTCTTACTTAATGATTCCAGATCTATTTAAGATTCTAGGCCCATGGTTTCCCTTTTACAGCTAGAAACTGCTCTAGCTCGAAGGAAAGAACATATCCCAGACTAGCGCACCTCTTACCTCAATAAGTTCATAGAGCATGGCTGCGCCCAGCCCGGCCTTGGCCACATGGCCCAGCGCTTGTAAGATCCTGGAGGAAGAGGGCAAACCACATATTAGGCCTGCCCATTTCCGTCACTGGGCAAAGCTGTAGCTGAGCTTTCCCTGTTTGACAGGTTCAACTTACGTGTGGATCTGTTCATCTGAAAGTCCTCGGGGATTTCGGATAGAGATCTGTGGCACCTCATGGGGATACTAGTGGGGGCAAATAACAAGTTACTGCTGAACTGATCCACCCCAGGGACTCTCCCCTTCCTCCCTTTG